CTAGTAGCTTCTTGTTCGTGGTAGTAAGGCCAGGAGCCCCTAGTAGCGTCCTTGCTCCTAGTAGCGATGCTAGGAGCCCCTAGTAGCTTCTTGTTGCTAGTAGTATGGCCAGGAGCTACTAGTAGAGTCCTTGCTACTAGTAGCGATGCCCTTTGTTACTACAGTAGCTACAAAAGCTTGAGAATGGTCCGTCCGGATCGGTAAAGATTCCTATTGGAAGTTGCCTTGTGTGGAGCCTACAACACCTCAATCAGAAAGTTGTAGCTGCATGACACACATAGAACTCGTAAAACTCAACATGTGACCCAATGTGCCGATGGTCGTTGATTTAGTTGCTCCGTGCTCGTCAACGACCCGCAACTATTTGCATCCAACGAGCAAATTCAAAAGTTGCGCGCGGGAGTGTGTGGGTGTGCGCGTTTGTGCGTGCCGATGTACAATTCTGCCACAACTGACAACTGATTCATGTAAATTACCAGTCTGTCGCCGGGCAGCGTAGCATGTGAAGAGCAGTACAAAAACCAGAAGCAGCACTAATGAGCTTGCCAGGACATCACGAGCCTTGGTTGAATCTAGGATTCACGCCAGTTAAGGGTTTTGTCTCCGAATCCAGTGCTGACGAAGGAAGGCATATAGCAAAAGTAACCTCTTGTTGAAGACCTTGATTGATTCATCATTGCTTTGATGATCGTCCACATAAAATGCTGACCGTTGCTCCTCTTGTCTTGCCGGTTGACTGGTGAAACAGCACTTTGAACCTGAACTACACAGCCCGTAAAATCCCATAAATTCCTCCAAGGATTCCCAAGGTCAAAGACTTTGACTTGCTTGATCACAAGCGAGAGGCGAGAGCGATCGATTTTCATGGATGTTCGTCCGAGTCTTGACATTGGATCTTTGGCAGGATAAAATATGGTTTTGATGCTCTCTTGGATGCCAATTTGCACCAATCATGCGCAGCTGGACAGCAAATGCTTTAAACCTCTACATGGGCCAAGGTGCTGCTCGACGCCGGTTCTGGACATACTGGCCCCGGTCACGGGCATGCAAAGAAGTGTCCTTCCATGGCTGATTTTATCAAAGAACAGCTACAACTTTCAAATCTGCTAGTTCCTGCTAGTAGCACTGCTTGCTCTAGCTTAGCAAACCACACAACATAAAGCGAAGACTGAAAAACAAGTTACGGAGCCTGCAGCAAGGGTGTTCGCTCTATGGAGTCAAACCTAGGCCCGGAGGAGCCACCCGATCAACCCAAAGAGAGTCAAGTTTTGCAAAGCATCTTTGCAACCCAAGCAGGCTCTTCCACCTCTTTTCAGAAGGGCTTCGTGGCTCGGCAGTTAATCCAAAGGGCAAACAAGCATCAAAGGCCACATTGTTCCGGAGTGGACTGAAAAAGAACGGGGGTCGGATAGTTACAGTATTTGCCTGCAATCTGATGAATCTGATGAAACCAAAGGAGGATGAGGATGGATCAATCTGCAAACGCAGCAAACCCTTCATTCAGGAAGGCCCAACCCTCGTCGAGTGGAATCCTTTTCTGCCTCACCTAATTGAGCTGTGGCCGATGCAACCCTTAATACTGTATTTGCAAAATGCAGTATATTTCATGTGGCCAAAGCTACCTTTGCGACAAGTCCAGTCTTTTCCCCTGAAACTGTAGGCAATCCATTTTGATGATCAAGCAGCACATCCAGTTCGTCGGAAATGAAGCGTCTCAGAATGGTAGCTCCAGGATCAATGATGGCTAAGTCAGAAAGCCCATACACAAAGGCCCTCAGTCAGCAAGATTGAAACACTTTGCCGAAGGGCAGGGTGCTATGGGCAAGAAGCCGTTGCGGAGGCTTGGACACATCCCGTCCCTATTAAGGCATAGTGGCTCAAGGAAAATTAATGTGGATTCTGTATTCTGGTCTCCCACCCATCTTCTTCAATTAGTGGAATCCAACAACTTGCATCTCGAAGCTGTGGACCGGACCTGACAATTACAAACGGCCAGTGTGAAGCGAACACGAGCGCTGAATAGTCACCGGTCAGCAAACTGAGGTAAATCATCAGCAATGTACTCAGCTCGACAGCAACTGAGATCCCAGGCATTTGTGTATTCCATGTAGTACAATATCGATAGTATTGGGTCGTTTGCGAGTTAGGGCCAGCGTTGGACGCTTGCACCGAGAAGGCTTGACAGTGCAAAAACAGGTGCATCGGCGGAATCAATATATTCCTTTGAAAGCGTCCGCAAGTCAGCAAGTCAAGGTTTGATGCGGCTTCGAGCATCAGTTCCACACATCTGACACCAAGGAACCCACCCTTTACAGTATAGTGATTCAGTCTTCGAACCCACCCTCATATTTTGCAATTCCTTAATTGTGTGTGTGAACCACAAACAAACAAACTGGACTCATGTAGACTTGACCACTGAGCCTGAGCTTACTGCTCCCGTGATAGAGCCGACACAAATTCGCACAAAAATTGAAACCGTCTCTCCTCCAGCTCTTGCTCACGAGAGCTTGCCTGGAATTTCCCACACCACGAAGCCATCATGGCATGTAAGACTGCACAAGCAAGAAGCAAATTCCAAAATCCTCTAATCCTCTATGTCCAAAGGACAAGTTAACTTGAACGTTTTTGGAAAGGGGCGTGGTTCACTTGAACCTGGATAAGGGTATATGGCATATGGTTCACTTAAAGTGCATGATCCCCACACCAGAGTTCTGTAGGGTTCCACAAGAGTCCACACAAAGAAAAGCACAGCTGCAGCAAACACAGCCGCAGCTGCAGCTGTCCATTCAGGACTTCGAGCCCAATGCATTTTGTTGACTACAGTCGCTGTCCAACATTCACCAAACATTCACAAGCTGTGCTTGAATCACGTGTTTCGCTGCTGTTTCCCTGGCTTTAAGGCCCCAACATTCATGGGGTATTCACCCAAACTCGCTGAATAGTCTTTAATGACCGATATATATATATATATAACCCTACATGACTACGTTTGTTTCAGCGAGGACTCAAACAACAAATACATCAAACTCCAACTGTTTTTGAGAGATCTGGCCAAGGCATGCAGGTGCTTTTGATTGAGCCAGACCTCGATCTGGAACGGACTCTTGAATGCCGTTAATTTTTCCTTGACAATCGATTAAACATGTCACTACAATTTAAGTTTGAACGTTCTACAGTTTTACAGAACAAAAGTGCAAGTTGCTCGTGACCTGCCGAAGATTCCAAATGATCGCACCATTGCATTCGTACAATATCTCTTGCCCCATTGCGCGTAGACTGGCAAGTGGAACTAAAGACATGTAGTCAATCACAAGAACAAAGTCCGCATGCAGCTGCCTCTCTTGGCCGCTTGGCTTCCGCTGCCTTCCAAGTGGGCACATGACAAGGAGCGCGGGCAAAGGGCACATCAGCAGGGCGTTACAAACATGCTGCACGGATCAACACATACAAACAAATCAAAAGTGGTCTGCACTCCTGTGCCCTAACAAATGTGTGCACTGCTGTGACAAACTCACCGATCGATAATGATACCATAATTTATCCTGAACTGTTGCATCTTGATAAACTTATCCCGGAACAAACCTGCGGAGGCATCAGTCAAAGCTAGGTCTTACGATAGAAAAGTTCGAACCTCTGACAAAGGTCGACCACAGTGCCGGCAATAGTTGGCATCCACCCTGAGAGGATTCCGCTTTTTTCCCCTGGATTAACCTGGTGGCCCTGGTGTGGCGCAAGTAAGCATCAGTGCCCTCTACAAACGGTCTCTAGTTTGCTAAACATAGTTAGACGTAAGCATCATGCATTGGCAGGTCCTCAACGATTTTTCGGTGTTACTATGGTACTATCTATGCCGTGTGTACAGTTGTGTTTGTGATTTCTGCCTCACTGTGATGTGACATGGTTCATAGATGTTCATAGTCTTCCAAAGCTTTTGCCAAGCAGCAAGAACAGGTTGTCGCAGTCGGGACATCTAAAATCCTGCTTGGGCACCAGGATGTACTAAATAAATTCCAAGGCTGCCTTTCTCCAAGCTAAAAAATAGAATTTGATAGACTCGATAGGAACAGGACGTTTTATCAGCGAGGCAAGGCCAAAACAGCCCGTCTATAGCTGTTAAAAATAGGAGATCAACGAACACATGGGCTTGTATAGCAGAGGCTATGACAAGTGTGCGGCTTTCCAAGTGTATCTTGTTTCACCTTCTTCTGCGACGGCCATATTCTTGGCAGCTCTGCCAAGTGTAATCTACTCAAAACGCAGTCGTCACACTGAGTAATTCTGGCAACACTCTGCCTGTTGTGTCTTGTCAGGCCCCAAACAAGTGGAAAAACCTGAGTATATCTTTGCCTGCAACAAAGTTCAAGCTTTGGTCATTGGTGGCCATTAAACTTCTGTCGAACAATCTTGCATAGATAGATCGATCGATCGATAGATAGATAGATAGACCCTTAGTCAATCTTCCAACGTTAAAAAAGTACTTCAACATTGCATGTAATCTTCCATTCAAAGGAAAACATATAAATCCTTAGCCCCAAACCGGAAGTTGTCTGTCACACAAACATCCTGTGGCCCTACCACTCACAAAGACCAGTGACAGGCGAAATGGAGTGCTGCTCAAAGCGGGCTATCCTTGTGATGCCCCTTCTTTCAAGGGCATGCTATGATTTCTATGGTTGGAGTTGGTGGGTAGGTAGATCTTTGCTACCAGGCCCACACATGCGGCACACGGTGATTTGGCTTTTCCAGAGTCCAAACGAGCTCACGTTGACCAACCAGTAAAAGCACAGGTTGGCTGCCGATCAAGTGATGAAAGCAAAGGAAGGCCATCGGCACCGCTGATTCACCAAATAGTGACTCTGATTCAAGAAGCACTTTGTGCTCAGAGTCGTAATTCGATCGTGCAATGTTGAACATCAAAGACCAACCAAGCACTTGGGTTTGCCAATTCTTATTGGACACAAACAGCTGGTTACTGGATGTGGGCCATTAGAGCTGTAAGTACCCAAGACCGGCCAGTCCAAGAGAAACCTGGAATCTACAAGGAAGCTTTGTACGGCGTTCACTTTGGACTGGGCCGACTTACTCCATTGGTAACCGCGTAAAGGTCGCTGGTGTGCTTTCTCTGCTCCTGTCAGTGACGCTGCATCACAGGGTTTTAATTAACGACGACAAATTGTACGGCAGCATACATTTTATAGGGGGTCAAAGTTTTCGTGAGGAACTTAAAGGTGATCTTCGGTAACTAGACGGCCCTTCGGAAACTCTTTGGACACTAATCTTTGGAAATTGGATGGTTTTCTTCGGAAACTCGTCTTCAGAGGGATGTGCCGTAGCCATCAGGGTACGCCAAGAAGACCACCCAACCCCCCCGACCCCCCACCCGCCCGTGCTCCATTCATGCAATCGGGAAGCAATGTGGAATTTCTGAAACATACTTTGCGAAGCATGCAAAATAGTTTCTGAAGACTAGTTGTTGAAGAGCAGTTGTGGAAGAGTACCAAATAGCTGCGGCAGAAAAGTTTCAGAAGAATGAAGAGTTGCAGAATAGGACTTTGTGATTTTTTTAGGTAGGCCACGAAGACCGAAGAGGTGGAGTTAGTAACTTAGCTAGAAGCAGCCAGGCAAGGAAGAAGCTGAAGAAGCTAGTAAACTGGACGCAAAAGGGCGAAGGGTTCTTCAAGCTTCCTTAACTCCCCAGACTTTTAGCGAACCGGCGACTTCGGTTCTGCTGCTTTCTGTCGTTTGTCATATATATATGTATACACACACTATATATACAGTATACAAATGTCCCCGCGTTGTTGGGAAGTTACTCTGCAAACCCCTTGAGTCAAGAGTATGTTCTTTATATTTCTGAACCGTTTCACATCGTTTCACGATGTCCTCCAAAGGCGGTGGAGCGCAAGGAAGGTGAAGGATCCGGCAGCCCAGGCCTATCGACTTTGCCCTTCCCAGCTATTCAAAACGATTGCAGCATAAACAGTGCTTGCTTCATCTGAGTCCGCACATGCAAGCTGAGCAAAAGGACTGCAAAAAAAACTGTAGGTTGGAGGCCGTCACTATTAGGGTGGAGGCCATCGCTATTAAGGTGGAGGCCATCGCTATTGAGGTGGAGGCCATTGCTAGTAGGTTCACTTGTCGGAGAACCCGAGGCCCCAGCGCCAAGAATCTGGACAAACCGTTTGCTTTCCAAACCTTGCACGTGTAGGCCATGTCTGATTGTGGGATAGAAATGTCTCCACCGTGACTGTAAGTGCTGCCTTTGCTGAAGCCCAGGGGGGCTCTTTGTTTTCAATTTCCATCCACCTGTCTTGCAACCAGCTCAATTGGCTTAGTAAAACTGGAAAGCATATTCGCGCCTTGAACCTCACATACATGGACATACGGAATCATACGTCATTAGAAAATACTACTTTGCTGCTTCAATTGCACATACTTCTGGAGGAAGAAAGTGTTTTCTTCTTGCCGGGTCTTATAACATCTATGTGGATCAGCCGCGGTCGAAGCAAGAAGTCCATTTCGCATGGCCGTGTGGGACGATCAATTATAACAATCAGTAAGTCCAGGAGCCCCTAGTAGCTTCTTGTTCCTAGTAGTAAGGCCAGGAGCCCCTAGTAGGGCCCGTTAGTAGTAGTAGTAGTAGTTAGTAGTTAGTAGTTAGTAGTTAGTACTTAGTACTTAGTAGTTAGTAGTTAGTAGGTAGTAGTAGTAGTAGTGGTGGTGGTGGTAGTAGTAGTAGTAGTAGCAAAAGTAGTAGTAGTAGTGGTGGTAGA